ACCCCCATCACACTTCTCTCCTCTTTTTAAGGTCGAATACCTCTTCGAAATCTCTTTGGACGTTGTTGCAGAAACGGGAACACAAAGTCCATTCAGAAATGTAGTTAGAGTCAATGTCTTAGCTCCACCTTCATTGTGTGGCGCAACGTCTTTTATGCCACTCGTCGCTTATGACTTTGTTGCCCCGTCAGAAGTCATTTTGAGACCATTTTGGATCGAAGATAAATCGACGGATGTGTGTGGAATTTGTAAAGCATCGTTCGGTTTAATAACAAGAAAACACCACTGCAGAAGATGTGGGAAAGTGTTCTGTTCATCGTGTTGTGTCGACTTTGTTTTGATGAAGGATTTGGGTTTCGACAAACCAGAGAGAGTGTGTAAAAAGTGTAAAGCCGAACTCGACAAGAAATAAAATAAGAAATAAGACATTGTTATTTGCAACAAATTTTGTACTTTATTGATTAATTAATAATTTAATAAATAAAATAATAAATAAATTTATTAATTGATAAACATCTGTTTTGTTCCGTCATATAATGACGGGTTAAAACAATCACTTGTGAGTAAAAACTATAAATGAATGGTTAATAAAAACTATATATATTTGTATATTTACAGTAGGGAAAATGAACCTTAGCCCGAATATGTACTTTAGCTTAAAGAAATTCCTATATTTTTCTTTAAAAACACGGGTTTTTACTAAAAAAACAAATATTTAAGAAAATTGACTTTTATATCAGTATAGTTTATTATTTTAATATAACAATAGAAATAAATTAGTTTTTCTTTGGGCTAAGGTTTAATGGACCAACTGTAACTTGACTGTTTAAATTTTATTTCACTAAAAAAAAGGTTAAAAAGAAAAGGAATTGTACAAAAAAAGGATTTCTATAACAAAAAATTTGTTATAAAATATGTTTCAATTAATTTATGTATTATTTATGTACCATATCGGGAAATTTTCATAATTAATAATTATTTATTTTTGAATAATCGCAAAATTGTTGCTATTTTTGTTGTTTTTTCTTTAATTCATTGGATAACTCTTTGTTTATTTTTAAATGACATTTAATGGTTTTTCAAGAGCTCTGTTTGGTGATTATTCGCTATTATTGTCAAGTATTCTTTTTTTTCTTAATAATAAGAAGTTTTTGTAACTTTATTTTAATAAAAAACTTGAGTTAAAAAAAATTTAATAATTAATAATAATTTAAAACCCTGGTAAAAAAGGAGTATGAAATAAAAAACTGGAAAAAGAACGGTAGAAGCTTCTCTGTGATAATTACTTGGTGGTCTTATAACGAGCGAATTGCCAAAAAACACAACTGCTACATTAAATAAGATATTTTTTGCTTTAAATTCGGGATGTTATTGGGTAAGCAATAATCTAAGAATACAACGCCAATTTCAGCAAATCGACCAAGCTTGAAATTTGAGTTTAAATTTGCTGAATTTTTGTCTCAAAATTTGGTATAAAACAGAAATACAACACAAAACAGTTTCTGTTTTTGAAGTCCAATTTTACTTCAGAAAAATTCCCATTTAGGGTTTTACTTTTTTATTTCAAAGCCCGCTATATCACATGTGATTGGTGTCATTATCACCAACGAAAATACCAAAAAAAGAGCACGAAACTCAAAAATGGACACACCCGAGAATTAAGCAGCCGCCACCGTATTATTTTTGTACTTATTTTGGAAAAACACAACAATAAAAAATTCAACCAAACTGCCAAAAATTTTCAAACCGCACTTTTCAAAATTCAATTGGAAACTTTTAAGGTGTTCATCTCATCTGAAAAACCCTGCTATGTCGCTAGAACCACACACCCACAGTGGTGCTTCGTTTCAACACCACCAACAACCGAGTTCCTGCTTCAAACAAACGGAAATTCTTTACGACAAAAATGCAACATCCGTCGAACATTTTCATTGCGATGAAATACAAAAACCAAAGAAAGTTGTGATAAAAACAACACTTTACAAAAAACCGAATTTTGGACACATTACAGAGTCGAGAAAATGGTCTTCCACAAACACCATACCTTCCCCTTTACGTCACTGTTCTCCCATCCCCGACGAAGAATTCCATTACACTCCCAAACCTCTGACTTCACAATCACCTTCAACACTTTTTGCAGACAACGAAGTCGCATCAATTTTGGGATCTAAAACCACTGTTGGCTCTCCTTCCTTCGCAACAACCACTTTTTCCGGTTCTCCTTCAACACAAAAAATCAATTGCGCACCTACACCACTCAGGTCGTTCGACTTCAACCTTTTGGACGACGACCAAGAGGATTGCCCACGTTGCTCTAACCCCGGTATCCTCCAATAAATATTGTTAAATAGATTATCTTATCTTATTGGTTTGTCTGTTAGTGCGTTATATTGTTATTGTTGGATTAAAAGAAAGACAAAATAAAAAATACCTTTTTTACTCACTAAAAGAGTCAGAGATATCACCACTGTTTTCATCATTGTTATTATCACTCGAATCATCGCTTTTCTTTAGTTTCATCTCCTTCTTAGCCTTTCTTTGCAACATTTGAAGTCTCTTCTCCGCAAGTGGTTTTCTGCACTCTCTGAGCCACTCCACGACTTTATCATTTTCTTCATTGAGTGCGTCACTAATTTCTTTGTAATTGAAAGTCTTGAATATTTGTTTGACGACTGTATTTGCATCGATTTTGACTGTCCCAAGCTTGACGTTATCTTCTGTATTAAAATTCTGATAGTAAATGGTCTCAATCTTTTGATTCAACGTGTCGAACATCTTTCGTGTGATATTAGCACGTGCACAGAAGAGGGCCGTTTCATAGTAATATGGATTATACCCACCTTGTTTACTAATAATAGTAGATTTCTTATACAAGAATTCCTCCATTATCTTCGGGTGAGTCTCTGGCATCCCTACATGAGTTAATCTTGCACCTTTTACGTTGGCTGTTCTACACTCATACATGAAATTTTTTGAAGCCAATTTGGTTCTAAAATGAAGAAGAATTGTACGACTTTTATATTCATCCATTGTCTTCTTTTTGGCTTCAACAAATGGCGCCAATCCTCTCTGATACTTTTCACAATCGATCATTTCTTTGTGTTTCGCAATGAGTTTGTCACAACATTTTGGCACCCCAAGAATGAAACTTTCTGGTAGAGAATCGGGGAAGACCTGTGACATCAACTCCTTCGACACAAAAATGTCTTTTGTGAATTTGACGCGCTCCATTATAGAAGAAAGCTTCTGTTTTATTTCTTCTTGTTGCTTAAGAGCTTGTTGACAGATGTCGAAGTCATTTACAGTGACTTCTTGAGACAAATCCCCCATGTACATCCCTATAACATTGCATACATCTTCTTTAGTGTATTTTTTAACGTCACTGTTATCACCAATAAAGTCATTCATTTCTTTCTTTAATAACACAACTTTAGCTTGGAGTCTTTCTTCTTCTTCTTTCATCATGTCTTCTGTCAATTTTTCAAACGCGTTTTGCTTCTCTTTGATTGTTGAGTATGTTAAATATTTGGTCTTTTCTGATCGATAATTTCGCGATGAAAGTTTTTGTTTAATCTCTTTGATACTTTTCCTTAACTCTTTGACTGCGACTACTTTCTCAGCTGTGGCTCGTGTCTTGGCCTGTGTTGTATAGATGTTTTCTATCTTCTTTGCAGTCGCTTCTAAATCGGTCTGTGCCATTTGCATGTATTTGGCACACCGTCTGCCGGCGTTCTTGACTGGTACTATACCTCCGTTACATAATACACTGATTATAACCATTTCTTGAGTCACTCCATATCCCTTACACTTTTCAATTAAAAATAGAACAACTTTTTTCACGAAGGGGGTTATGGACCAATCGACTAATTGCTCTTTTGGATCGACTTCAATTTTTTCGGCGAAGTGTTGACGCTTGGAGTGTCTGTGTGGTCTTTGGAGAACCATTAAAGACTCTTGTGATACACCAAAGTAATCACCCAAATCGTATTGAGGCATAGTTGTTGAGAAATAGTTCGTCTTTTTATTGAAAGGAAGTGTGTCAAAATACTTTTGGCTTACCAATTGGGTGTTGACAGTTAATGGTTTGGATTTGAGTTCAAAATCGTGTGCAATTTTTCTAATTTCTTCAAGTCTGTTTTCGTCCTCTATTTCTGCTGGTGTTTTTTGAACGACATTTTCTTCTTTTTTTACTTCATTTTTGGCACTTTGTGGGGCAATGGTGGCAGATTCCTTTAATTTGTCAAACTCTTTTTCTGTTGCATTTATTTTAGTTCTATAAGTGTTGTAGTCATCTTTGATAGGCGCTTCGACGACTCGTGCAGGTGTTTTCAAAGAATGAGCAGATGTTCGTCTTTGGAATTGACGTTGTTTTAACAGAATAGACTTCATGAATAAAACTATCAATTCAAGGCATTATATAGTTTACTTATGATTCATAGTCTAATTATAAAAGATTACTTCTGAGAAATAAAATATATATAATTAAAATTTTATATTTATTTTTATTATCATTTATAGTTATATTATACATTATATTTCGGTCAAATTCAAAAGTGTGATTTCTTTTTTTTAAATTTGTATGTGGTGTTTGTTTAGTTGTAATAAAATTAATAAAATTATTTATTAAATGTAGTTAAACAATAATTTATGGTATAAATTAATTTAAAACGCTCTTAAATAGTTTTTAATTTAATATATTATAATAAGAATCAAATGTAATTAGTTATTTAATTAAAACATTTTAATTATTTAAATTAATAATAATTTAATTTATATTTCATTAAAATATATCTAATGTAATTATTATTTTACTATTAATAATATTATCATAAAATAAAAATATCATTTATGATAAAATAAACTACAATAATATTATAAATTAACAATTTACTATTAATATACAATAATAATATATTTAATGTAAATTAAATAAAAGCTATAATAAGCTATAAATAAATATATTAATATTCATATTATTTTAATAGTAAACTTTATTAAAAAATATATTATATAAAATATTATATTTGTATTATTAAATACGATTAAAAAGAAACCATAAAAGTCTCAAGAACGAGTTGACTTAGAAAAGATCACCAAATCCTCCGAAGTCTTCTTCGGCTTCCTCTTTTTTCTCTTCTTTTTTCTCCTCGGTATTTTCTTCTTTTGGGGCTTCAGCTGAGGTAGCAGAGGCGGCTGGGGCAGCAGCAACGGCCATAGAACCCATTTGGCTTTTTCCTTCTTCGATGACTTCCCAGACGTTCTTTCCCTCGAGAGCCTTGAAGACTTCGGCGACTTTGGCTTCATCGACGGTGGCACCGGCCGCTGTCAAGATTTCTTTTACTTTGGCCTCTTCGGCTTTGTCATGTCCAATTGTGCAAAGAACGTATGCCGCAATGTATTCCATGTCTCCCTTTCTTAGTTTCTCGACTTACTTTGTAGGGTTGTCCTCTAATTCTATCTTTCTATTTTTTACTATTCTTTATAGTATTTCTTCTTATAATCTATTAATTCAATTCGTTGAAAGAAGCGAGTGTTATTTAATAAATTTACTATAATTTATAATATTTGTTATTACCTATAGTAAACTATAAATGAACTAAAATTGTCTTAGAACTAATCTGTCCTGTAGACTGGAGCTTCACGCGTTGGAGGAACGTGAGCTGGTGGTAATCCAGTGTCGTCTGCGCCTTCTGCTTCCCCATCTTCCCATTCGATGATAATACCCGCCTTCTTTTGTTGTTCAATTTCTTCTTTAGTGACTGCGACTGGAGCTTCGACTGGGACGATACCGTCTGTGACAGTAATTTGTGACACTCCCTTGAACCATGGATGACTTAAAGCTTGTTCAGCGTTCATTCTCAAACGAGGATCTGGATACAAACAACGAATAATAAAGTCTCTTGCGTTGTCTGAGACATGTTTCCAATCGTCCGAGTCGAAGACGACTTCACCACTCTGCATTTGTTCCAAATTTTCTGCTAGAGTCTCCCCGTCGAAAGGAAGGTATCCACACAACGAGACATATAACATGACACCGACACTCCACATATCAACTTGATACGAATACTCGGAAGCGCCCATTAGAATCTCCGGCGCAGCATAATCTTGCGTTCCACATGGAGTCTTCAAAGGCTCTTGTGAGAAGTTTTTGGCGAATCCGAAATCGCCAACACGACAAGTTAAACCAGCGTCACCAAGTAACAATATGTTCTCCGGTTTAATATCTCTGTGGACTATAGAGTGCGTGTGTAAGTAATATAAGGCAGACACGACTTGATACAAAATCCAACGAGCTTCCACTTCAGGTAACCCATTCTCATTCTTGGAAACACGTGAGAATAAAGTCCCACCAGGTAACAACTCCATAATAATTGAGATGTTAATGTCACTTTCAAAGACATCAAAGACCTTCATAATAGCGACATGCTGTGCGGCTCGTGTGATCTCGATTTCTCGAAGTAACAATTTGGTCTCTTCTGGCTTAACCAAACGTTTGTCAATGACTTTAATAGCACATAATTCACCAGTGGGGATCTTCCGTGCCTTTTTAACTACAGCAAAAGCTCCACGACCTAATTCGTCACCAAGAATGTAATTGTCTTCGACTATTCTATTGCGCCTCTCATCATCTTTGGGGAACAGAAGATACTTCTTCTCTTCTTCAATAAAGTCCTTGTGCTCTTTAAAATGTGGTGGAAGTCGCTTCTGAAGATTTTTCTTCTTTGTTAACTCCATCTGTTTCTTCTTCTCTTTCTTCTTCATCACCATCTTCGCTTGTTTGCCTTTTAACTCATTGATACCTTCAGTCACAATCTTGGACAGTTTTGACGTCTTTTCTTTGAAGGCCGAAGTCGCACTCGAAAAAGTCTTCTTAAAAGATTTCATTGAATTTCAGTTATTTTGAAGTTCAGTTCGTCTTGAAACACTTGTTTCAAGTTCTTTATTTGGATTCCTTATTATTGGCAATTGATTATAATTGGAAGTAAGCTATTTCTTATTGTTGTTGTTTTTTAATAAAAATAGTTTAATTATAGTATAAAATAAAGTTTATAAATATAATTCTGATTTATTTTGGTTAATAAACTGTTAATATGCCGAACTATCGGGTCGGATCTTTTCGATTTTGAGGTATTTAAGTCGAACTTGAAAATGGGTTGTAAGTTTTTGTGATAAACTAAACAACTTGATATTATTAAAGTTTTGTTTATTGTATTTTTCATAGTTTTTTTTTGTAATAAATTATTAACATTTATAATATAACAAATATATTATTCGTTTATAATTTTTAAACGATTTAAAAATACAAGTTTATTAGTTTATACAGTAAACTAATGTAGTGGAAAAAAGCTGTCGTAACTGGGATAGATCTAAAATTTTGCTATAATAAAATTATTTTTATATAATTTGTCATTTAGAATTGACGAATTATTTTTGTAATTTTTTTTTTTAATTAATCAAATAAAAGCAATAAATCGAATAATTTACTATACCGTATAGTTAAATACCATTAATTTACTATAATTTTCGGTTTTCACGATAGCTTTTTTCCACTACTGTATATAGTAATTTAAATACTTATATTATAATTAATTAAATAAGTTATTTATTTTTATTTTAGTTATTTATATTAGTTATTTGAAATACAGTTTCTCAAGCTAGCCTTATTTGCCTTCTGCGATAGTTTGTTAATTATTTCTAATTAATAAACTAGAAATAAATTATATTTGTATTTTCATTTTTTTTATTAGTTCCACATTTATCAAAAAATTTTACTAACAATTGTTTTTAATAATAAACTAATATTTATAAAATTGTTATTATTAATTTAACTATATTTTGAAAAACAACCCCAGAAGGCAAACTTTTTCCATAAGGCAAGCTTAAGAAAAAGTAACTTTGTTTAAAAATAAATTTTTAATATTTTTAATTTAATTTTAAATTACTAATAAATTAACTTTTAAGTATAATAATGACACAATTCTTTTTGCCACAATTTTCCAAAATAAACAAGAAAAAGATAAAAACTGAAAACACCCAATGAACCCTGAAAAAAAGACCAGATCTTAAAAATCAGACCACTCTTTTTCCCCAACTCTCCCACCTTATTTACATAATAAAAATAAACCATTTGGAATAGTATATATAAAGCACTTAAAAATCAGAATGTCTTCTATTAGATCCCATGTATCCCAATACTCGTTCCGATCGGGTGACGTATTTTGATGTTTTTCCGTCATGCATTTTTAAGACCCGACATAGACATCAATTACCATCCGTCCACATGGACGTTGGTGTCATCACACGAGCACCAAACACAACAAAACTCTTTTATTCCAAAACGACGCAGATTGCGGACACTCACGCACAAAAGAAAAGTTATTACGAAAGTCATCCCTTTTACTCTCTCTTTTTTCAACAAAACGACGAGAACGTTGAAAAATCCGATGACGAGAACGAATCGGTCGAAAGTTTAGTTGAAGATGACGTTGTCAAACAAATTGACACAAACGTCATCAAAGTTGAGTCGACGAATGTGATTTTAGACGATTGGGAGCACCAAATCGTTTGGAGTCAAAATTCGACAAAGTCGAAATTACCAAAAGTTGAGAAAGTCAGAAATCCTCCGCTTGAGAAGAGCGACACTTTCTTACAAGTCAACCCGTGGCGGATCTTCAGTGGGAGTTGTCCTCCAAAACGTTTAGAGAACACATCAACGAGTATGCGGTGGTCACTCTTTCCATTAGAGAATGAATTGTTACAAAAGGATTGTTGGGAGAGTGATGTGTTATGGGACGAACCCCAAGTAAGCGCGCGAAAGGAGATTCCCTTATATTTGGATTTGAATGACACGGGACTCTTATTAACAGAAGCCGTAGTACCTGCAGACCCCGACATGAGTTGCGAAGAGAGTGTGAACACTCCGATGGATATTGAAACTGATGAAGCGATTAAATACAAGGAAGATGAGAAAGAGAATATTGGCATCAATGAGACTTTTAACACTCTCGAGAAAAGCGATTTGAAGGACGTCTTTGTGAAATTGGAAGAGAAGAAAGAAGAGAAGAAATTGGCGGCGTTGCCCGGACTGGGAGATACCGTCACGAAATTAACGAGTTTACCGGGCCTCAGTGAAGCCCCTGTGTTACCGCCACCGATGAAAGATATCATGGACGAAGACGAGACGGAGACGGACACTTTTGAGAAGAAGGAGAAAGACAAGTCTGAGAAGGTTGAGAAGAGTGAGACTAAAGAGAAGCAAAAGAACGACGCGAAGAAGGAGAAATCAAAGAAGAGGAAGACAAAGAAAGACGAGAAGAAAGACGAGAAAGAAGATGAAGAGAATGAAGAGCCTAAAAATGAGAATGAAGAGGCCAAGAAAGATGAGAAGAAGAAGGAGAGAAAGGTCTGGAAGATAGCAGACGAGAAGTTGGAAGACTTGTCGAATGACCGATACTACTTCATGGGAAAGACAGGGTATACCCAGAAGAAGTTTATTATTTATCACTCCGTCCCTGCAGCACATTTAGAAACGTTTCAAACGCACTTAACTATGACGGATCTCCAAAACTTCCATCGGCCATTGTTAAGTGGGAGAGATACGGAGAATATGAAGATCGCGTCGATTCCCGTGAAATTGCAGAACAAAAGATTTAATGTGAATAACACGTACGTCCCACAAGACACAAAGGAATTGTCTTCTAAAGACGGGAAAATCCACTTAATAGAATATATTGAGGAATTCCCACCTTTACTCTCTGAAGTTGGGATGGGAGCGAGAATTAGAAATTACTGTCGAAGAGAAGACGAGTTAATTGTGCCTGATAAATTTTCGACGGGAGAGATGGTCATAGTGGAGAGAGGGGAGGAGTCTCCGTTCATTGGGAAAGTCAAGTCGGGGAAGCCTGTGCAATCCATTGATAATAAAATGACAAAAACGCCGATTCATGAGAGTAAAGTGTCGACGTGTGACTTTCTTTTAATTAGAAATGTCGAGGGGGACGAATGGAGTATTCGAGAAATCGACCACCTCTTTGTAGCGGGACAACAACAGCCACAAAAAGACACTGAGATTCCTGTTCCTGGGAGTAAAGCAGAGACACTCTTTGTCAAGGAACGTCTTGAAACGGCGATTTATTTACAATTTCATCAAAGCACTACATTGAGGATATCTGACTTTGTGTATTCATTCCCGTTACTCACTGAATTGACTGTGAGAAAGATCTTGAAGAAGTGCGCAACATTCAATCGGAAAGGAAATGGGAATGGCGGGAATTGGGAATTGAAGTCGGACTATAAATTGATGAGCGAGGACGATTTGTTTAGTAAGATGACGCCGGAGAGAGTGTGTAGTTACGAAGCGATGATGGCGGGGAAGATGCGCCTGCAAGACAAAGAAATTGAATTATTTAAATACTCCCAGCTAATTAGTGCGAAACAAAGTTTCGATGTAGAGTTAAAGAAACGTGTTGAGCCACTGATAGAAGAGGTGAGAATAGCGCCTTGGACATCAATGAATGTGTTGGCGAAGGAAGTGAAGGGGACCATTCAAGCCGACTTCTATGTGAAAGATACCGACCCGAGACACTTACTCGAGTTCTATCGGCGGTATATTCCAAAACAAACGGGGACGTCGAAATTGAATTCTGAAATTAAGTCACGATTTGGGGACTTGAGGAAATTGACGATCTCACAACTGCGCAGTGCGCTGAAGAATTGTGGAGTGAATGACGAGAGAGACTTATCGAAGACGCGGTGGGAGTTAGTGAATTTGTTACAGAAAGAAGTAGCGCGTGGGATTGGAGTGAATACGGAGCCTGTGAATGGCAATCGGCCTGTGACTAACACGGCGTCTGCATTAAAGAAGCAAAAGAAGATCAAAGAGATCTTTGAAGAGCAAATTGAGTTTATCACCGATGAGAACATCGTCGAGGAAGATGAAGAGAGTGACTCGGAACAAGAGACGCGAAAGGTCATCGAAGGATATTTGAAAGCAAAGCGAACGGTCAAAGAATATATCCCAAGAAGGAAAGATGCGTTACAACAGCGAAGCTATCGAAGTCAAGTCACCTTCCACAAGAAGAGGATTATGGACCCGACTGCGGAAGCGAACAAACAAAAGAATCGAAAGGATATCCGGAAATGCCGAGAACAGATACGAAGGATGAAAAAGAAAGAACTTGAAGCGACGCGAGAGAAAGACATGCCGCCGGAGGTTAAAGTGATTGAAGAGGACAATGTGGTGTTTGACGCGATTTCTGGCGAGGAAGTTGTGTTGAAGAAAACGCCAATGATAGAAGAGAAGACCGAAGAGAAGGAAATAAGTGAAAAGGTAGAGAAGCCGATTCAAGTCAAAGTGGAGAAGGAAAAGAAAGAGGTTTCGAAGAGAGAGAAACGGCGCCGAGAAAGGAAGGAAGAAGTGGAGAAGACTATTAGAGGGAGTAGTATGGAAGAAGACTTAACTGGTGAAGTTACGATTGGATTACAGACATATGAGAATTATGAGAAGAGTGAGAGACTGCGAGAGAAGAGTGGAGTTATAGTGGAGAAGGTGGAAAAGACCGAAAAGATTGAAAAGATGGAGAAGAGTAAAGGTGGGAAAGATGATTTGAAGAGCGTATTGGAGAAGTGCACTAATGAAATGAAAAGAAATAAACTGTTCAGTTTCTTTGTACAACCGGTGGACACTGCGGCTATTAAGGACTACTTGAGTATAGTCAGAGAACCGACAGATCTCAATACGATTGGGAAAAAGGTCAAGAAAGGAGAGTATCTGACTCTTGAAGACTATTTGAATGATATTGAAAAGCTTGTGAATAATTGTTATAGATATAACAGCAGAGGGATGTTCATGTGCGCTACTCTTATTCCATACGCTGATTTGCTCTACGAATTTGTGTTATCGTATTTGGCAAAGAATGTGAGCAATAAGGATTGTTTGTAAGAGTGTGGATTTTTATTGTGAGTTGGTTGTGGCGAGAAGTCAATGGAGTTCGTGATATTCACAAGAGTAAATTTTTAAATAATTTTCTTATTAAAATTAAATAGAAAAAATTCAATAATTAATTTTTTATTTTTTTAATCACTAAAACATCACTTATACTTTGAAGTAGATGAGAATACTTAGGTAAGTTTTTGGAAAAATATACTCTTTTTTGATATGTTTTTAATAGTAAAACAAACCATTTTATTATATTATTTGTTTTTTTAAATTAAGCTTAATTGTTTCTATGTTAAATAAATAAGTCACTAAGACTGAATTAATTCACAATGTGGATTTATTTCTTCTCTTCCTTCTTTTCAGTGGCAGCAGCCTTTGGTGCTGCTTCCTTTGGTGCAGCAGCAGCCCCCTTCTTTCCTCCCTTCTTTGGCATGTGTATGTAACGAGTGAACTGTAAGATGCATTCTTTTCTTTTATAGAGGCAATCATTATTGTGAGATATGACAGCCATATTTAGTCCTACACAACGGGTGGATTGCGGTGACAAACAGCAAATCACTTCAATCTAAAATAGACATCACACAACAATTGATATGCCATAACTCAAAACACCCCACTTTATCTCACAATTATTCTTTATTGTAGTATAAAATGTTGAAAATTACGCACAGAAATAGAAACTCGGCAGATCACACGATTCTTCACCTTTATTCATCACCACATAGTACCACGTCATTGTTATAAATAGCACCCCAAAAATAACACGGTGATGTGGCATTTAAGATTCCCGATTATTGGACAAAAAACAGGCTGTTGTACCTCACAATAATGATTGCCTCTATAAAAGGGAAGAATGAATCTTTGTAATCACTCGTTTAATACACATGCCAAAGAAGGGAGGAAAGAAGGGAGCTGCTGCTGCACCAAAGGAAGCAGCACCAAAGGCTGCTGCCACTGAAAAGAAGGAGGAGAAGAAATAAGATATATTCTAATTCATCACTCGTTCAGTGTTATGTTTTCTTTTATTTATTCAATATTGTTTCTCGACAACTATTATAAATAATCAACAAATAATTTTTTTTAATTCAATTATGAAAAGTGTGAGTCATTATCAGGCGTTTCCAAAATAATTATTGCCGAAAATGTGGTATTATAACGTACAAATTTAAAAGAGAAAAAGAACATATTGGTTATATAATGGTGATGTGGGTAATTAGGATTGTGATTTTCGAAATTTCTGGTCATTATCTTGATGAGAGTATAATATTTTTTATCAAAAACAGAGTCCTATTTAAACCATTTCTTAATTCATTTAGCTTGTGAATTAAAAAACTATAGTTTAACATACTTTTTATTAATAATAATATTATTATTAATAGTAATAAATGAAATATTATTCAAAAACACAAAAAAATTTAAAAACGAATAAATTTAATTTTTCTTCAAAATTTTTAAACAATAAACAGAGGATGCTTCATACACATTTATTCTAACAACATAATAAACTCCTCCAAAAATATATAATTTTCGCACCCATTTCTTTCTAAAAATTCGGCAATTTCATCACTTTCAATAGAGGTCTTAAGTTTTTCAAGCACCAATTCAAGTCGACTCAATGACATTTTTTCTTCATCATCTGGTACAAACCAATAGAAAGCGTGTTTCAATATTTTCTCATAATTCAAAGTTCCTTCTGTCATATCAATATTAAAACACTTTAAGCACATGACAACCAAATTCATAAAAGTTTTTGAATCGATTTCATCGCCACTTTCTTTCAACCTGTAAATGACCAGAAGCACTATCTCATCATTTTCAGTCACTTTGCATTTCATGTCCCGAATCACACTCCTCATGGCTTCACAAAACTTTTCTTGTCCAAAAACAGTCGAATGGTCTTTATCTTCTCTTTTAAACACTTTAAAGGCGTATCTCTTCATTTTCTTCTCAACTAAATTGGGTGGGTCACTCTTGTCGATGGGTTGTTCTTCATTCACACAATTCACAAAGGCCTCTTCATTCAAAATATTATCTCCAAAATGGTCGTAATATTCAAACGACTCTAATGCGTCTTCTCGTGTTATTTTGTCTTCAACAACTCTCTGTCTTATCCTCATATAATCGTCGATATTCAGTCCTTTTTTCCCTCCAAAAGTCGCTACTCTGTATGCGATTGTACACATATCTTCTGCAGTCGGCATTAATCCTCTCGGGTTTGTGTTGTTTGAAATCGTTTTGAATATGAAGTCTTTCATTTCGAGTGTAACAGTGTATTCAAAGTCGATACTTCCAAAGTAGAACATAGTATCAAAGTCGTCTTGTTGTTTTTCAAAATTGGGATAAAGTTCTTTGGCTTTGTCCATGAATTGTTCGTAAGTTATAACATCCTTTTTAACACTGGGAGTTCCTGTGGAGCCATTGGAAGCGATCGACCCTCTTGAATCTCGAAGTCTTTGTGAATTCTTTTTGACTGAGTTTGTCAGTCGATTGAGGCGAATTAATTGAGACGCTTCTAATGTCTCTTGGCCGCTTATCTGTTGTGACTCCCGGAGTTGTGATTGAATTCCTTCTTTAGTCGTTCGATTCGCAGAATATTTCGGTGTTTTGAAAACTCCTTTTTTCTTTTCAAAATCCTTTTTTGGTATTGTTCGAGTGAGTGAAGTGGGTTGCTCGATTTTTGTAATCATTTTTTTGAAGTCATTTTCACTCTTTAAAACACTTTTAAACGTCGTCAAAAATGTTTCTAAATCAAAAGACTTCGTTTGTACTTTACTTACTGCGTCAAGTTGATTTCTCATCTCTGAATTTTTCGGTTGTGTGCCATGGAATTTAATAAATTTCATAACACTAACTTTGTCCACTTTGGCTTCGAAGTTTTTGTCCAAAATCCTGAAAATGCACACAGCGAAAAATTCCGGGCAGTCCATCGCCATTTTTATATTTAAAATTTCTACAATTCTATTGAGCATTGTAAATTGCTTGAAGGAAACAGAAGAACTTTTGTCTGTTATAACATTCAGTAATATTTCAAAATACCTCATCGCACGTTCTTCTTCAATTTTGTACTTCGTTTTATAAAATGCTATCACATCTTTAAATAACACCTTCCCCTTCTTTACTGGCATTTTGTCGAACATTATTTTCTCATTTAAAAACTCAATTGTCTGAACAAATGTGTCTCCTTTATCTTCTGAAAATTTATAGAAATAGTTTAAAAACTCCAGAAGTTCACTCATATCAAAAACACCAGTTTTTGACGTGTTAAATCGTTTTATCAACTCTTCCATGTTTTTAGGCACGCTCTTTCCTTTCATTTTTTTCACCAACATTTTGATGGTTTTTATAGTAACATCGCCGTCTTCGGATAGTACCAGATAAATTACAGCAAACACCACCGCTGTTGTTATACCTCCATTTTTATTAATTAAATAATCGAGCCATTGTAACGCACACACAAACACAGACTTTGTGACTTTGTTGGACTCTGCCAGTAAGTCCCACATTATTAACAAATTCGTTTTAATAGTCTCGTCATATATATTGAATATTATTAGTGTTGTTGTATATGCCACATCCGGTGTAATGGACTTTTGCTTATCAACAAGCTGCAGAGTGTATTTTGATATGAAAAGCTCCCTTGCCATCTTTGTACGATTTTATTTGATAGTGCACATTTTCAAAAATGGTGTTTCAATTGACTCCCGGTATAATGTGCCAATCGCTTTGATTTATCGAATTATCAAATAGATTTTTTCGTCGGCAAAAATTTAATCGGATTTGGTCGTAAATAAGATTCGCCTTTATATCACTTTTATCATTTCAACAATTCGTTATAAACCAATGAAAAATAACACAAATCTATTTATGAAAAACACCAATAATCTATATTTAGCCTCACATCGTGTTATAAAACCTGTATTATAAATTATAGTAAACCATATTATATTTATAGAATGTGTCCAACAGAACATAGCCAATTAAATATTGATTGTGTGTTTCTTTTCAATCTGTTCCAGCAATGAGTACATCCATAATGATTTGTGTGAAGTCTCTTGAACTCAGCATTGAAGGGTTTTCTATTTTTGTAAGCACATTACTGAATTGTTCGTCATAAACAGACCCTCCAAAGTGATTCAAAATTGAGTCGAAAGTACTGATGGGCATCAATACTTGTTCTTTTGGGACGTACCACTCGAACAACGTTTGCAACAACTTTTCTGGAGCAAACACTTTTTGTTTGTCTTTAGTGTATATGACTGAGTCTGCGACTAATTCGACAAGCTCCATAAAGACATTTGGCTCTATCACATCATTCTCCGCCTTAATTTTGAACAAGAAGATGAATGTGTTTTCATCTAAGTCGTTTTCAAGAGTTGTGCAGTCATCCATCACACCAAACATCGAGTCGACGAAACGGTCGGAGTTAAAAGTGAACAACGTCCTGTCCTTATTTTCTCTCCTTAACACTTTATATGCGTATCTCTTCAACTTCATTTCTTTGATCTCAGGATCATCATCTTCTATGATGGGGTATTCGTCATATATTGAATTAATAAATTCGTCTTCATTTAAATAACCATCTCTGTCGTGGTCATAAAAAGTGACTGTCTCTTCTGCGTGTTCTTCTGTATATGTTTCGTAGATATAATCAAGTTGGTCATCGTCTCCATTCACTTTTCTATCTTCAGAACTTGAGTCGACATTTTCGTGGTACACAAGTCCTAAGATATCAACTAATTGATACAAATCAGCTGCATTGACTCCTTTCTTCCCCATATGCGTTAACATCTTATAAACTAAAGGATATGTGTCATCAATTTCTTTTACTGTCTTATAAAAGGCGTTTGCAGATAACGTGGTGATGATGTAGTCATTCATTTCTCGTGTTATCCCTTCGCCCAAATCGATATTACCAACTGCATAACACATAGTGAATATCCCCCTCTCATATTCGTCAAGACTTTTAAATGAAGTGTCTATAGTATCTTCAAATTCTTGCAAACTCACTATAGGAGAACTTTTATTGATGTGCCGATCTTTCACATCAACTGAACTCCCTTTAATTGATGCGGCTTTGGCCTTTGCTTGCCCACCCCGACTCTCTCCTAATTTGGATCGCGTGTTCTTCGTCGAATTTGGCTTCTGTGGAGTTCGTACTTGGCTTTGGAACAATTGACTTCGTTCCAAAGAATTTGTTTCGACTTTATTTGAAGGTTTGTTAATTGATTTCATTTCGGGTTTGGTCTCAACTGGTTGAATCACTGCAGTTACAGGGGAGTCGGCTTTACTGATTTCATTCACTGTTTTCATCACACGTGGAGTGTGTCCAGTCTTTTTCTTTATTTCTTCTTCGGCCATTCGTTTGATGGTTTTGGCATCTTCTTCCTCGTCACCAGTGTCTTCCCCATTAGCCTCACGCTCTTCCTTCAACTTCAATTTTATCTCCATTTCCATCTTCTCTTGTTCGATGTCATCTTTGAACTTCTTTTCTTCCTCTGCGTTCTTCTTTGGTTTCTTTTTGTGGTTCAATTTGGCTTTGATCATTGCGACAACACTCTTAAGTGTTCCAGAGAGCAACAAGAACTGTTCTAAATTGAGTGGACCTTCTTGCACAGCCTCTTTCATCGTAACCAACTCTTCTCGTGGCTCACACTTTTTAGGAGTCACGTCTTTGATGTATTTTGTAATTTCAGTCTTATCTAAAGTACCATCACAGTTCTTGTCTATCACTCTAAACACCCCAACTAAAAAAGTCTCTGGTGTGATTTCACCCATTTTAGTCCGATAATACTCAATTTGTTGAGAAATAGTTATTATATTGGACACAGTGATGTTCTCCTTCTCTTTAACAACTTCTATGAGATCAGATAAATACGTGCGACACTCTTTACTTATTGGGTATACCTTTCCAAGCATCTCACATGCGGCATTGAAATACAACTTCTTTGAATCTTTATATCCAACCGTCTCGTGGAACGTCTTTGCAATGTTTATATACTCTATCTTCTTTAAAAACGTCGATGAAGAGCCATTAATATTAAACGCCGTGTTAAATATAGACAAGAACATATCTAAATCAACAATTTTAGTTGTGGCAGTTTGTGTGGAAATAGCTTCTTTCAGTAATGGGATCTTCGACGAGTTCTCATTGGATTTGATCTTCTTAATGATGTCTAATAAATCTTTTTTGGGTATGCCACCTTGAGTGTCTAGAGTCAGATAAGCTACTGTAAATATCATCTGTGGTGTGACATCTTCAGTTTTGTAGTATATCATATCAGCGTGTTGAAATAAAGAAACAAAAGTTGGTCGAGAAATATTACCACTTTCAGAAACCATATCAAATAGAATATATCCACAATTCTTTGTCTTCTCATTTGTTGTTTTAAATATAGAAAAGAATGTGCTAAATGCCATCATCGTGTTCAAGACAGGCTTTTTCGTGTCTTTGTCTCGTTTCTGTTCAAATTCGTTGATAAAGCACTCCCGGGCCATATTCAAATATCTTTATTTTAAGTTTTTGGTCATTCAAAAAGTGTGTAATTAAAAATGATTATCAGGTGTTTATATCGGTCATATAATTAAATGTTTGATATTATTTAAATCTATGACAATCCATTATATTTTTTAAAAAACCCCAATTTCCTTTTGAAAAAAAGTTGTTTTTGGCTAATACAGTGTGTCTTTTAAAGTTATCTGGTGTATTTTAAACAATAAAAATGGAATATTTCGGAAAGCCTTCCAAAAAATACCATCCAATTGTTTTATGTTTTTTCATGGTTTACCTAATGCCCGATGTTTACATAAAATAAAAGCTATATTTTGTCCATTATATAACATTTAAAGACTGACTCTTTATGTTATTTTTATTGTTAAAATAAAGAAATAAAAAAATTGTATCAATTATCGTTTAACTTTGATTCAAAGTTTGAATAGTTTATTACTCAGTTCCCAATTTCAAGAATGTTTTACTCTATTTTTATGTTGCGTGTTATACTTTTATTGTTAAAAAACATATTTTTATTAGTTTTTAATTTGAACTTTTGATAATAACAAATTAGTAAATAATATATCATTTATTTTTAATAAACTATAATAATAAATAAAAGCTCTAATTAACAATTGTTTTATGTTGAAATTAATTGAAATGAATAATTTTGTATAGTATTTATTGAATTTAATATCAAATACTAATTAATTGTAAATTAATAGCTAACAATAAAAAATTTACTGGTAAACCAAATAACTTTTACGAAATAATTATTATATATTTATTCTAATAAAATAATCGTTTTTTTATTAATTAAAAACAAATTATAATTTAATTTCAGAAAAGAAGAACAGATAATTTTCTTACACTGGTGATTTAAGTCTTAAACAAACTAAAAATTCGGGAATATATTATCACACATAAAAATTGACTGTACAATCAGGAAAAAAATTGGGTTTTAAAAAAATAAAACCCCGAAATTATACAGGAAAATACAATAAAACTATGTGTACGACTATTTTCTGGTGGTCTTTAATTATTAACCAAATAAAAAAATATATAAGATTTAAAATTGAAATTTGTTTTGATTTTATACAGACAAAACAATTACACTCTAATATAAACCCAAATGAATAATAAAAAAAATAAAAATAAACAGTTTTGAAAGAAATAAATTGTTTAAATAATTTATAATTAATTATTAAATAAATTGTTAATTTCGACAATTGAAAAATATCTTCAAAAAACGAATAAATAAAAATAATGTATAGTACATTAATAGTAAATAAATCAATAATATATAATTTTGATCCGATATTAAAAATCTTTTATTAAACGATGCTTCCTTAGTTTCTTACAGAGATGAACTTGACCAACTCAAAATCAGAAAGACATGAGTAACCATCCAAATTTCCCTGCGTACAAAAACGTCCAACTGAAAACGATCCAACCTGGTGTACGCGAGGGATGGCTGAAAAAACGTGGGTTTAAGGCACACACATGGAAGCGGCGCTATTTTGTGATTAAGAACAACTTTATCTTCTACTTTCCGTCATCACAGCCGGACTCTACGCCGAAGGGGATGATTGAGCTCAACTCGAAGTCACAAGCAAAGCTGTTAGATCAGACGTTTTTGAATATAGTAGTTACAAGTGTTCATAGAGACCAGTACATAATAGCTGAGACTCCAGACATTGGGGCGTCATGGGTAGATGCAATCAACAACCAAATACGAACACTTAAAAAGATAGAAGATCAAGGCAAAGATGATGAGAAACGAGTGGCGCCAACAAAAGGGATACCATCTGATGTGATGTCTGAAATAGCACGAATTCGAGAAGAAAATGACGACAAAGTGCCGCCATCGTCGCTCACAAAATTGATCAAGAATGTAGGGGATGATACAATGGAAAGATATTTGTATTCGATCTTGTCTGAAGTGCTGAGAGATTGGGACAACAAGCAAATTGGAAGATATTTCTATTCCAATTTCTGTCGCAATTACGTCCGCGTTGATCATCGAGCAAATAAGAGAAGAATGTCTCTGATGAAAACAGGGGAAGGGAAAGCAGACAAAGTGTTGAGTGATTTGAATTTATGCTTTGGTGGTGTACAACGGGCAGTTCTTGGAGCTTATGGTGCTGAGAGAGAAAATGATCAAGACGAATTGATGTTTGTGTTTGGAAAGACAAAAGCAGCAGGTGAGCGACTTGCTGACATTTACAAGACAATCATTGCTGAATACTCAATCGGCCCTTCAGAAGTCATTCGAACTATATTCGACGCAATGGAGACGTGGAAGATGAGAACAGACGAAGAGATCTTTCTTGCGTTTGTTGGCGGGATGATGGAGGGCTGGGGACCAGAACTGGTCGCTTCATTTGTTTCACTTCTTTTCGTCTACACAAAAGAACAAGACTCATTCCCACTCTTCGAAACACCGTGGGTCGAAATGCCAGATCATGCCCTTCTCTTTATCAAACGATTTATTAAAGCGTGGAGTGATTGTCAAAAAGCCGAATTTTTTAAAATAGGGCGGTTGCTGTGGGGTGTTGGGGTTGACAACTACAAAGCCAAAATTGAAAGTCTGCAGTGATTTCTATGAAAGAATTTCATCGCTTATTGTAATTCAACACCTCTTTTGTTTTTCTTTTCTCGAATAACACTACTAGTACTTTTAACTTATTTCAAACTAAAAACTTGAAACTATCAAAAAGAGTAAGACAGGATGGAGGAGTATTTAAAAAGTATTGAGAGGCGACACACGCACGGGATTCCGATCTTTCGATATTTGACGTGTTTTGTCCTTTCCAATTTACCACTTCTGTTTTTGGCGTATTACGCAATAACACTTGTGGTGTCGAAAACAATGGGGGAGTATTCCACTTTTGTCGCGCGACAAAAGTACTCATTAACTAACAAACCGCCAATGGATCCACAGACTATTACGATAGTCACCGGGATACTCATTTCTATACTCTCAGTCATATGGCCAACACACACTAAGATCTCTATCTCTTTGCCTAAATTGCACCTCTTAATGACGTCATATATCTTTTACTCGTTCATGAAGATCGTCATTAAGTCATTGTCGTATGTGCTACTCGACTCGACGACATCTGCATATCACGCGTCGTTCAAATCAGTCTCGTCGTTCTCGTTTGCATCGACATTCTACTTTCTCACGTTTTCTAATATACTCGCCTCGTCGGATCACCAGACGTTCGACGCCTCGAAAATGTTTGTATGTGAGAATAAGAGTGCGATCAACGCGATTAACAGTCAAACGGAAATTAATGGGTATTACGTCAATTACTATCTGCAAGGGCTGGAATATCCACCGTCACCCTTTTCAGTCTTCTATCAGGCTGTTGGACCGTTCTCGTCGAGGTTTTCAAAGTGTTGTGAGAGAATGGTGTTTGGTCTGCGGTGTCGATATCACTTTGTTATGTATCATCTGTTACTCTTATTCATGTTGTGTGTTATATTTACAACAAATGATATGTACGAGAATGGTAATCACACGTTGAAACAAGTGATTTATGGAGTGTTGATTGCGTATATAGCAGTATTCTTAAAGGATCTCTTGCACTTCTATTGTCGAGACTGCTTCTTCGATAGTATGGCGGTTAACGGTCTTTTTCTTTTCGCTTTCCATGTCACTGACAAACACCTCGGAATCGTGTTTGGGTGGCCGCATGTGATATCAGTCTTTAATGGGGTGCTTGCCTTCTTTTTACAAAAGAAGTTTGATACGGAAATGTAATTATTATATATTCTAATTAAATGTTATTAATAGTTAAAATAATGATATTTATTATTTGTTATAATAAATATACTATACTTGTATTGTATATTCAATTAAACCAATGTCAATAGTTTTATTTTAATATAGAGTTTAATAATATTATATAAACTATTATAATATAATATAATATAATATAATATAATATAATATAATATAATATAATATAATATAATATAATATAATATAATATAATATAATATAATATAATATAATATAATATAATATAATATAATATAATATAATATAATATAATATAATATAATATAATATAATATAATATAATATAATATAATATAATATAATATAATATAATATATTATTATTATAATTAAATTACTATTAATTAAATATATTATACTCAATAATAATTGTCCAATTTTATAAAAAGGCAAATCAAGCCCAGAAATGACATTTTTTTTTAATAATAATACACGCTTTTAGTGTGTTAACTTTGTGAAGTAATTGGGAAAGAATAATTTTCGAAACCAAACAAATTATAAAAATGGTTTTATCAAACTATAATACTAGTTTAATTAATACTCAAAAAAAACTTTTGCTTTATTAATAATTTCAAGTAGTTATTAAAAAAGTTACGAACGACTAAGATATTATAAAACAATTATAATAAATCTTATGTACTGTTGATAAAAATACCAACTGCAGTTAAAAAAAGTTGTTAATGATATAAATAATGTTACCCGTTATTACCACAGAATAGAAATGCTTTCTATTCAGAATGGAACTAAAAGTAGAGTACAGCAACAACACTTTTTTGTTTTAATGATGATAATTGTTCTAAAAACTAAAAGTGTTTTGATGTGTAAGAATGAAGAGAAAAGGAAATAACAAGTTTAGCAAAGAAATGAAACAAATTAAATTACAGAGAAAAGTGCGGGATCGACGGGAGTGAATGCGGTGAGGCAAATTGACTCAGAAGAATCTTCAACGTCATTTTTTGGCTTTGTGAACATCTTTCGCTTTAAACTTCCGAAGTACCGGTTTTTCACATCGTTACCACTCCGACCTTCGAGTTGTTTACTTATTAACGTCCACTTATTACCAACCGTACGTAACATTTGCATAATAACATCATCTTCTTGCTTCATCCACGGTCGATTGTTTTGTTTTCTGAACATCAGCGAGTTGAAGTACCGCTCTCTGCACTGCTTTCGATTCCGCCCGACTACGAAGATCTCGATCTTCTTCCAATTCTTCTGCCCAAACTTTTCGACGGCGCGGAGGAGTTGGTCGTCCTCAACAGACGACCACGCGCCAAAGTTGGTGAATTGGTGGGTGTCGATTTGCATTTGCGACTCCATGAATGCTTGCTTTATAACTTTTCAGTTTCATCGTTTTATAAGGGAACGGTGTTTTTGCGTTCTTTTGATTTTTTGCAAGGTTTAATAGTTTGATGTTTCTTAATGTCCCGACTCGACACACATTGGCAATCCATTTCAAACAATTCTTTTCTTCAACCCTCACCTTTTGGTTCCATTTGGCTTTTAAAAGTCGGGTCTAGTATATTCGCTAATACATAATAACTTAATTCAAAATGCTCTGAATGGTCACCTTTTAAAGTAAAGTGGCCAGATAAAAAACGCAATATTTTTCATATCCCTCTCTTTGTTCTTTTAAGGAATAGTATCAGTATAATTCTTTTGAGAGGAGGTGCAGTCTTTGGGGAGTTGTGTATTCTTTTTCGAAAAGTTTTTTAATTTGGGCATTTTTGAGTCGCTCTTGTGTGTTTTTCAATCGAATTTGCCACTAAAATAGTATTGTTTGTAAATGTCCTAATATTTCAGTTCAAAAGTTATGGAAATTATTCAAAGAAAATGAAGTGGGCACATCGTATTTATAAGGCTCGTTCTTTGGACAAAAATAATCAAAAATATATTGAAGGAAACCGAAATATGTAGGAACTGCCCGTATTATTGCAAAGGATTCCGCCACATCAAAAAGCTTTTTATTAATCTAATTTAACTACAAAAACACCCCGTGATAACGGACACATACCCTTCCATATGGCGACTGAAAAGTTACTTGTCAAAATGGGGTTTTCTTGTTTTTATGCCACGCGTGTACACGCTTTTAATTTTTTTGTCGATGAAATTAGAAGCAGAAACATTTGGTTATAACACGGTGAAAATGAACAATTGTCGATCATTCATATTGTATTAAGATAATAATTAAGTGTGTTTACGGGTTGATTGTATAACAAGTTGGGAACGCCGAAACAGTCCCACCATAAATGATTGTATGTATTATACAAATTGGTTTTCGATAAATTCATAATTGATACATTTTCAAGTAATAATCAATTCAAGAACAAAATATGGTTATTCTTCACTTCAAAAAATTGGTTTTTTACAGGCCAGAACTGGGTTTTTAGCTTGAACATATTTTCGCTTGAGTTCCCGATATTTATTGAAATAAAAATACTATATAGTAAAGACATTCCAAAATCATCTAAATACAAAAAGTCTATAACAAGCGATTTTGTGCTGGACGGTTGTAAACAGAGTTCTCCAAATAAAGCCAAGACAAAATAATTAAAAACAATTTAAAAAAATAATGTTTTTGAATTTTTGGGTTATAAAACACGATTTATATTTTTATCAATTGTCAAATTATTATATGTAATGTAATTTGATTTAATATATTATTGATCAATAACTGTTTATTAATATTAAAGCGATTAAACACCAATGAATAAATGATAATAATA